GTTCATATAGTTATACAAGAGAATGCGAAGGATCTAACTAAGATGCACTTAACAGGGGTACATTCCCTATGAGGTTCTAGATCCGACTCAAGTAACTGTACACGACTCAGGTAACTGCCTGTGCTGTATTACAGGGTTAGTTATATGTCCTTCCTGTCATGGCGGACCCTTGAACTTCTGTCGGTTTGATTGTCGGACAACGGTCAATGACCGTTGCACTTTGTACCTGGCGTCATAGGCTTGGATTTGACAAGGGTTACAGCTCGAGTGTCACTTTCAGCAATGTAACATTTTTTTTATCATAAAGCAAAGGGCAAACAAGTGGTAATCACGCAGGGTCGATGGCAAAGGGTGTACGCGCTAGTGTGCAGGATGCACGGTGAGAAAATGTGCTTTCTTTTTAGGAAGGAATGGAAATTCGTAGTGGAACGTGTAACTGCAACGCCTAGTGTTAGGAAATTCCTTTTCCTTACTGGGCTCGACTACAGAGCGTATGCCCTCGACTCTTGGAAGTCCAGGCCCGGCCAACTTCTTCGGTCCCGAACCACTTCGGGAACCCAAACCTAGATGCGCGGCGCTGTTATAGTCACAATAGGCTCAGATGTGCCTATAATGAGAGATAGAGAGCACAGTCGGATTTCCGTCAGACGGCTTCAAATATTGATAACGATCTGGTGGCTGAGTCAAACTGTGATCTGTAAGTTGGATGAGGAGCGCATTGCTGTCGTCTATCAGCAGCAAGTTGAATCATGAAATTCCATGAAGATTTGACGACGCTATGACGGTTTGACTGGCAGGAGGTATAGCAGCCACTATAGTCTTGGAAGTACAAACTTAGCAAGAAGAGTTCGAGAGGGAGATAGTTCCCAGCCTCTACATACCCCAAGAGCCGAGGTCCAGGTTGGTGGTACACCACCACAGAGTCCCCAACCATGAAAAGTCTCGAAACCAACCCTCCAAGGGGCTACACCAAGTGAAATGTAACACTACACGAAGTAACGTTACTATTTTCACTATTTAATATTTATCCGCGTCCCTTGGGCTTGAAATCTTGAGCTCTTGTTCTTGGATCTGCAAGATAAATTCTTCTTGAGTTGATGGAGTTTGCTGCACACACCTGCGACACGATGGACACTTCATACTCGACAAAATAGAAAAAAAAAACACATGCGACACGCAAACGATGACTTGACATGCGAGTTGTAAAAACTCGCTAATGTCTTGACCGACACAAACCACATTGTGATACACCATTCAAACACACACACAAGCACTGCATAGCAATGACATAGACTCACAATTCATTCCATGGCATGCATGCACACACACAAACAAGGACGACAAGCCGAGTGCAAGCCATAGGGTTGCACCAACAAACTCCCCCTCGGATTGTTGGCCTTAGAATCTGCTCCCCTTAGTTCAGAGCCATCCCAGCAAGCTTGCAACACTTCCAATGCTGCTGCTCAACCAGCCTCTTGGTCATCATATCAGCAGGTTGCGCCGTCGTCTTCACGTAGTGCAACTCCACTTCAACCGCGGTTACCATGCTCCTCACCCAATGCCACTTCACCTTCATGTGCTTGGTAAGGCCATGAAGAACCGGGTTCTTAGCCAATGCAATAGCACCTTGGCTATCACAGTAGAGTGGGGTAGGTCCTTGCTGCTCCTCCCCCAATTCAGCTAGCAAACGCCGCTGCCACACAACCTCTCTTATGGCACGGAAGAGTGCCATGTACTCGGACTCCACCGAGCTCAATGCTTGGTCCACTTGTTTCTTGCTCTCGCAAGCTGTTGGGCCTCCACCAACACAGCAGATGAATCCTCCCACACTTGTCATGTCCTCTGGTTCTGATGCCCAAGATGCATCAGAGAAGGCGGTGAGAAAGAGCCTCCCGGGTTCGACTCCATCCGCACCCTTTTGACGCCTTTGTGCCGCCGCGGAGTATTGCAGTCCAACAGTTGCTGTTTGGCCAAGGTACTTGGCCACCCTCTCTCCAGCTGCTACCTGCTCCTCATTAGGGCATTGGACAACCCTAGCCAGCTGCCCGGTAGCAAAGGCTGCATCCGGCCTTGTGTGAACGGCCGCATACATGAGGCTGCCCACCAAGGAGTGAAAACGGCGCCTCTCCTCTTCACCAACACTTTCCTCCGCTGGTCCTTTCACACACTTGAACCCTGAGGGAAGAGGAGTAGCCACATGACCTTCACTCTTCCCAAAGTTTGCAGCCAAGGCCTCCAAGTACTTCTTTTGATGCACTCGCATCCACCGCTTCTCCACATCTCGCTCAATGTGAAGCCCAAGGTAGTAGTTGACGTCACCAAGGGTCTTGCACTTGAACTTGTCTTGAAGCTTCAGCATCGCCTCCTTCACAAGGTCAGAGGAGGGTGAGAATATGAGGATGTCATCCACATAAACCACCATGAAGCTCCTCTGCTCCCCCTCGCCAAGCATGAACAAGGATTGATCGGCCGTTGAGGGAGTGAAGCCGATCGCCTCCAAGACTTCTCGCAGCTTGATGTACCATTGCCTAGGGGCTAGCTTGAGGCCATAGAGTGCTTTCTTCAGCTTCCACACTCTGCCACTCCCATCATTGTACCCCTCTGGCTGCTTCATGTAGGTCTCTTCCTCCAAAACGTCGTTGAGGAAGGCCGTTACAATGTCCATTTGCTTCACCACCCATCCTTTGATGGCCGCTGCGGCGAAGAGAGTTCGAAGGGTTGTACCCTTCACCACATGAGCATACACTTCATTGTAGTCCTTCTTCTCCTGCTGCTGGTACCCCTTGGCTACAAGTCTACTCTTGTAGCGCTCAATGTTGCCGTCGGCGTCGGTCTTGCGCTTGAAGAGCCACTTGGAAGAAATCGCCTTACGCCCTGGAGGTAGGTTCACCAAGTCAAACGTGTCGTTCTCGATGATGCTCCCCATTTCTTCATCTGAGGCCTTCTTCCACTCCTTCCCATTGGGGCCGTCCCAAGCCTCCTTGGGATTTGTAGGCTCCCAAGGTATCTCCACTGGAGAGAAGAAGGCAAAAGCGCACTCCTCAATTTCATCTTCCGCATCATCGCCTAGCATGAGGGCCGAACCGGTCAAGGTTGAGTTGGCTGGTCCTCCAAGCCGTTCATAGCTCAACCTTTTGGGAGGATGAGTCTTCCTTCTTCCCCATCCTTCCTCCTCTGCTGCAGGGACTTGGATGCTCTCATGGCGTTGCTGCAAATCTGGTCGGTTCCCTCGAGCACTTACACCCCGGAGGTAGGTTCACCAAGTGAAACGTGTCGTTCTCAATGATGCTCCCCATTTCTTCATCTGAGGCCTTCTGCCACTCCTTCCCATTGGGGCCCTCCAAAGCCTCCTTGGGATTTGTAGGCTCCCCCGGTATCTCCACCGGAGAGAAGAAGGCAAAAGCGCACTCCTCGCTTTCATCTTCCGCATCATCACCTAGCATGAGAGCTGAACCGGTCAAGGTTGAGTTGGCTGGTCCTCCAAGCCGTTCATAGCTCAACCTATTGGGGGGCTGAGTCCTCCTTCTCCCCCTTCCTTCCTCCTCTGCTGCAGGGACTTGAATGCCCTCATGGCTTTGCGGCAAGTCCCGTCGGTTCCCGCGTGCACTTGTAGCACGAGGCGGAAGTGGCGGTGCACGCTCATTACCTTGCTGCACCTCCTCCTCCTCCTCATCCCCATTCATTTGGGGAGATTGCCTCGTGATAGTGCTGCTGCTACTCAGCTCCAAGGGCAGCTCCACATGCTCCAAGCCGGTACTCTTCACCTCTCCAAGCCGCACACCAATCTTCGCTTGGTTCTCCGCCTTCCACTTCTTGTACGGTAAGTTCTCCATGAACTTGCAATCTCTGCTCACCAGGAACTTCTTGGTAAATGGGTCCCATAGAAGCCATCCCTTGCTGTTTTGGGCCATGCCCAGGTGCACGGCCATGTTGTCTTGGCATCAAGCTTGTTGTGCCGAAGTTTCTTAGGCACAAGTGCCATGCACATGCACCCGAACACCCGAAGCATATCCACCTTCGGCTTCCTTCCAATCCACTCCACATAGGGCACCCATTTGTCTTCTCCCACATGAGTCAAGGCTCTGTTCTTGGCCCCACAAGCATGCCGCACCGCATCCGGCCAAAAGTAATTGGGTAGACCGGCTTCAATGAGAAGTCCCCGAGCCGTCTCCGTGAGTGTCCGATTCGCACGCTCGGCGATGCCGTTCATTGCAGGAGAGTAGGGCATGGTAAGAGACTGCCTTATGCCCTGATTCTTTAGCCAAGTTGAGAAATCCTTGCTTAGGAACTCTCCCCCAGGGTCAGTGCGAATCTCCTTCACAAGTCGGTCTTGTTGCCGCTCCACCATCGGCAACCAATCGGTATTCACCGTTTCAGCTACGTCACTCTTCTTCGGCAGTACATACACCCAAGTCATGCGAGTGTAGACATCCACAATGGTGAGGAAGTACTCAGCTCCAGCAGCTCCAAGCTTCAAGGGGCCCACCACATCCATCACCACCTCATTAAGTGGTGCCTTCGCCGTTGTCTCCGAGCTATGGAACGGGTAGCGGGTGAACTTGGCTTGCATGCATGTTGGACAGCCAAGCACCTCATTGGGCTCCCCCTTGACACGTATCCCACTGACCATCTCTTGCTTAACAATCTGCTGCAAAATGGGCAATGCCACATGCCCCATTCGCCGATGCAAGGTCAGCCAATCACACTCTCCCGTAGCGGAAGTCGGGTTGGAGAAAGCGGCACTCGCAATTGTGCCCCACAAGCTCTCTCCTTTCTCCTTCGCCGCTGCTGCTTTGTTGATCTTAGCCTTCTCCTCCTCATTTCCACCACCTTTGGCTGCTGCACCATTCTCCTTGGGTTCACACGCCTTGCTGGTCTCTCCAAGGTTGCACTCCTTCGAGTCACTCTTGGTGTCACTTTGCTTTCCGTGATCACTGCCATCAACCGCTTCACGCTTGGTGCTGACGCTTGCTGCCACTTGCCTCTCTTTAGGCATGGGGACCACTGGGATTTGCCACATCTCTTTGTAGATGTCCCTGTCCTCATGAAGGTCCCAAAGCTTCCGCTCACCAAGCCTTGCGGTATAGGTTTTGGATCCCTTGGAAGATGTGTCCATGCCGGCCTTTTGCAAACGCCGAACGGAAATCAGGTTGGCTGCTAGGTTGGGCACCAAAAGCACGTTCTTGAGGCCCACCATCTTCCCATCAGCACCCTTGAACATGGCATTGCCCATGCCCTTCACCTCTGCTCGCTGCCCCAAAGCCGATGTAACATGCTTGACCGGCGACGGTTCGAGTTCGGTGAGCAAGTCCGCACGAGGTGTCATGCTGTATGTGGCGCCGCTATCGATCACCCAAAAGTCCAGAGAGTGAAGGGTGACCTTTCCCACAGTAGCTGGCTCCTCAAAGCCTTCCACACCTCCTGCTGCAGCTGCCGCTTGCATGGAGACAAAGAAGAATTGGCCCGGGTATCGATCTTCACTCGGGTCCTTGTCGTAGTCTCCACCTTTCATGCTTGCCGCTTCGCTTCCACGACCACCACGGCCTCCACGACCTCTGCCTCTTCATCCCCTTGCTCCTCTGCCCTCTTGGCCTTAAGAAGGGGTCCATCCATTAGGCAATCTGAAGCAATCTCTCCACATGTGGCCGGTCTTGTGGCAAAAGTGGCATTCGCCATCAAATCGACCGCGCCCACACCCGTAGCCATTGTTGTTGTTGTTGCTGCCATATCCTCCATTACCACGGCCTCCATTGAAGTTACTGCTGCCAAATCTTCCTGCTCGCCCTCTGCCCCTTCCACGGCCGTGCCCACGGCCCATGCTTGCAACTCCGGCACCATCGGGACCCGCCAATTCGCGACGACGGAAATCTTCTTGTAAGATTTCCCGCTTCACATCTTCGAGTGAGAGACGGGGCAGATCTCGATTAAGGTTGATGATGAGCGAGGACCATGAGTCCGGAAGTAAGGCCAGCAGCTTGGTCTTCTTTTGAAGGTCACTGTAGTTCAGGTCAGCTCCTTTGAGCCGTGTCAACAAGTCGAAGAATTTCTGCACTCCTTCCTCCACCGGTTCGCCTTCGTCAATTCGAAGTGCCGCCATTTGCCGCTCCAAAACCACAGCCACCGCCGCTGTTGCAGGAGCGTGTACACCCTTGAGAGCAGCCCATGCCTTTGGTCCCTTTGCTGGTTCACGCTGAAAAGGCTTGATGTGACGGATTTGGCTGCTCCCCAACGCTTGCCCAAGTAGAAGGTAGCCTTGTGCGCTCTTCCGCACCCACGGGCTCTTCTCCGGGTCGTTCTCGGGGCGCTTCTCCGTTCCTTCCATCACCTCCAACAGATCATAGTGGTCAAAGATGTTCTCCATCTTGAAGGACCACTCAGCAAAGTTGTCACCGTTGAACTTGTCAAGGCCAAACGCTCTAGGCTCATCCCTAGAGGGTCCAAGGCTAGGTTGCACCGGAGCAATGGGTGGATCTTGGTGTTGACCTTGTGCTTGGGCGTCTTCTCTGCCTCCAGCACCTCTGCCACCCCCTTGCTCAGGTCTAGGCATGGTCGAGACGGCTCCAAGGGGCTCTGATACCACTTGTTATAGTCACAATAGGCTCAGATGTGCCTATAATGAGAGGTAGAGAGCATAGTCGGATTTCCGTCAGACGGCTTCAAATATTGATAACGATCTGGTGGCTGAGTCAAACTGTGATCTGTAAGTTGGATCTGGAGCGCGTTACTGTCGTCTATCAGCAGCAAGTTGAATCATGAAATTCCATGAAGATTTGACGACGCTATGGCGGTTTGACTGGCAGGAGGTATAGCAGCCACTATAGTCTTGGAAGTACAAACTTAGCAAGAAGAGTTCGAGAGGGAGATAGTTCCCAGCCTCTACATACCCCAAGAGCCGAGGTCCAGGTTGGTGGTACACCACCACAGAGTCCCCAACCATGAAGAGTCTCGAAACCAACCCTCCAAGGGGCTACACCAAGTGAAATGTAACACTACACGAAGTAACGTTACTATTTTCACTATTTAATATTTATCCGCGTCCCTTGGGCTTGAAATCTTGAGCTCTTGTTCTTGGATCTGCAAGATAAATTCTTCTTGAGTTGATGGGGGCTTGCTGCACACACCTGCGACACGATGGACACTTCACACTCGACAAAATAGAAAAAAAACACATGCGACACGCAAACGATGACTTGACATTGGAGTTGTAAAAACTCGCTAATGTCTTGACCGACACAAACCACATTGTGATACACCATTCAAACACACACACAAGCACTGGATAGCAATGACATAGACTCCCAATTCATTCCATGCCATGCATGCACACACACAAACAAGGACGACAAGCCGAGTGCAAGCCATAGGGTTGCACCAACAGGCGCTTCTATAGCCTTCGCCAATCGGACCGCCCCAATTTGTTCGCATGGTTCTCAACTAGCTCTGTTCATGCCTATAAATGCCTAGGCCCTCATTTGTATCGACACTCTTGAATCACGAATCCTTTATTACAGTACCTATTTTTACTCTTATTTATTCATAACAGCTGGTATTTGAGCCCCATTCCTGCCCACTGAGGCAGAACCGATCTTTGGGTCGGCCACGATCTGCACGTGGAAAGCATGGGGCGAAGCATTGAAGAGCCACTTCGAGCACATATCCATGCGCAAGAACGCTCGCACAAGGCTTCGGATGTGGAGACAGCTGGGCTCTGTTCAAGAATACACGGCTTCGTTCCTGGCGTTATGCGATCTAATCAGAGGGCTTGGCGAAGACGAGAAGATCGATCGCTACGTGGGTGGTCTCAAGCGAGAGATTCAGCAAGAGATCGTCCTGCGAGCCCCGGCAACATTCATTTGACTACAGCGCCTTGAATCGGGTTACCATCAAGTATCGCTACCCCTTCCACGTGCAGACGACCTCATCGACCAACTTCGCGGGGCCAGATTTTTTTCGAAGATTGACTTGCGAGGCGGTTACCACCAAATTTGCGTGCATGAAGCTGACTGCTCCAAGACGGCTTTTCGGATCCGGTACGGGAGTTACGAATACACGGTCATGCCCTTCGGCTTAACAAACGCGCCTTCGACATTCCAGTTGACCATGAACGAATTTTTTCGGCCATTGCTGGATCAGTGCGTCATCGTGTACCTCGACGACATTTTCATCTACAGCACAACCTGAGATCAGCATTTGAAGGATTTGGAAGCGGTTTTCTCTCTCCTGCAGCAGAAGCGACTAATCACCAAAGGCTCCAAGTGCGAGTTTCTCAAATACGAACTGGAGTATTTGGGTCACGTGATTTCCATCGATGATGTTAAAATAGACTCCAAGAAGATCGCGACAATCCAAGAATGGAAGCCGCCGGCTGATCTACGCGAACTTCAGAGTTTTCTGGGGTTTGTTAATTACGTCGTTTCATTCCGAACATGGCGGAGGTAAATTCCCCTCTCACGGATCTCCTGAAAAAGGGCACGTTTTTTGAGTGGGGGGAAGAGCAGCAGGCTGCGTTAAAAAGCTCAAACTTTTCCTGACGACCCCTCCAGTTCTTCGAATTGCAGATCCTCACCGTCCATTCGAGCTCATAACCGACGCTAACGATCTGGCCGTCGGCACAGTCCTGTTACAAGACTTCGGCGAAGGCCTACAACTGATCGCCTACAAGTCACGAAAGCTGAACCCGGCCGAGCGAAATTATCCTGTCCACGACAAGGAGTTACTCGCAATCGTTCACGCTTTCAAAGTCTGACGCTGCTATATGACGGGCGCTGACATAACAGTCCGAACAGACCACAAGTCACTACAGTTCATCCGTGCCCAACCGACACTCAATCCCCAACAGATTCGCTGGCTCGACTACCTCGAGTCTAATTTCCACTACAGGGTCATCTACAAAGGAGGAGTCAGCAACATCGCCGACGCACTGACCCACCCCTCGGTCCACACCGACGCCGTTCTAATTACCCAAGCTAATCCGCTGCTAACCGGCCTATTCACCCACGGATATAGTACTGACCCATTCTTCAACACTAATAGCCATCCCCAACTGACGGTCAAGCAAGGGGCCTATTACCTAAAATCCGGTACCAATCGGATTTGGGTTCCCGCCTACCGTACCCTATGGGAATTACTGATCTAGGAGGCACATGACTGGAATTTCTCGGGTCACTACGGCATCGACAAAACCGCGAAATTACTGAGCCATAATTATTACTGGCCCGACCTACTGACAGACATGCAGCAGTACGTCACCTCCTGCGCCACGTGTCAACGCATGAAGTCTTCCCGACTTCGACCTGCTGGATTGCTGCAGCCGCTCGAGCCACCCAGCCGACCCTGGCAACAAGTGACGATGGACTTCATCACTGGCCTGCCAGCTGGTTCAAGCGGTAACGACGCGATCCTCGTCGTCGTTGACCGGTTGACCAAAATGGCCCGTTTCGCCGCCTGCAAGACGACAAGTACTGCCGAGTAGACAGCGAAACTGTTCCTCACGAACATCGTGCTGCTACATGGCATCCCATCGGCAATCATCAGCGATCGTGACCCACGGGTCACGTCCAACTTCTGGACAAAAACCTGGCAGCAGTACGGCACACGTCTGCATCTGTCCACGGCATACCACCCGCAGTCGGACGATCATACTGAGCGCACCAATCAAACGATGGAGCAGCTGATTCGCACGACATGCACAGACCCGGCCCAATGGGAAGACGCCCTTCCCTTGATCAAGTTTGCGTACAATAATGCCCCATCGGCCGCAACTACTCAGTCCCCGTTCTTCCTTAATTACGGGATAGATCCGACAACCCCTCTATTGTCACCGATAGAAAATCCGGCCCAAAGTCTCAGCAGTTCGTCGAAAACCTCTGACAGTCTCAGCAAAAAGTCGCGAATGCCATCCTAAAAGCCAACCAGAGGGCTAAGCAGCAAGCATACCGACGACGCCGAGACTTAACACTTGTCCCTCGGCAATTGGTCCTGCTCGACACCAGGAATTTGGGAATCCCCTCTCAGAACTTAGGACACTAGCTTCTTAAGCTTAGGACACTAGCTTGGCTATGAAGCTAGGACACTAGGAAAGGCCGCCATGAAATGGCGGGAGGAAAGTAGATCTAGGAATGAGAGGAGAAAAGTCGAGAAAGAAGAGAGTCTCGATTAGGAAGAGAGAGTGGTACAATGAGGGGATTGTACCCTCTACAGAAAGGTTCAGTAACTACCAAGCCTATCAATTATATATAATTTATATAATCTTAACATCCCCCTCCCAAATAAATTACGACCAAGATTTTGCGGACCCTTCCGCGTCATTCGCATGGTGACACCAGTCACCGCCCATCTCCAACTGCCGACCGACAGGCGAATTCATGATTCGTTCCACATCAGTCTCATACGACCATTCGTCCCGAATGCGACCAATCTCGACCGAAAATACATTAATCCTACAGTCAACCCAGTACCCGAGCTGACGACAGCGCCATCCAAGATCCTCGCTCATCGCGTACAGGGACATCGAGACACAGCAGCCGTCGATTTCGTTGTACGCTGGGTCGATCGCACAAGTGACGACGACCTCTGGGTTCCCGCAGCCACGCTCGGTGAAAACAGAGTTGTCCAGGGACTATTTATACCGACGACATGTCCCGGATGTGGGTAGCCTCATCCTAGAAGGGGGGGTGGTGTAAGGAAACTCCCTTTTCCTTTCTGGGCTCGACTATAGCGCGTACGCCCTCGACTCTCGGAAGTCCAGGCCCGGCCAACTTATTCGGTCCCGAACCACTTCGCGAACCCAAACCTAGACGCGCGGCGCTTCTGTAGCTTCCGCCAACCGGACCGCCCCAACCTGTTCGCGTGGTTCTCGGCTAGCTCTGTTCGTGCCTATAAATGCCTAGCCCCTCATTTGTATCAACACTCCTGAATCACGACTCCTTTATTACACTACCTGTTATTACTCATATTAATTCATAACACGTAGACCTGGTCGTTAGGCAGCCGAGGCCCCTTGGATTTCCTTCACCATCTCACCACCTCGCCATCGAGCGCTGAACAAAATCAGACCGCACGTCACAATATTTAGTAGCAATTGCTCATCTGCGCAGCCGTGCCCTCCCCACCTCCGTGCACCTTCTCGGCCCCCTCCTAGCGCCCCCATCCTCCCGCCGCCTTTGGTGTCTCTTCGTCTTAGATCCCCCATTCCCCGTCACTCGTTAGTCGAGCGCGTCACCGCCATGCCCGCACCCGGCATGGGCGGCTTCCGCGACCTCGCTCCGCGCGCAATGGGTGCTCCGGGAGGGGGGATGAGCGGGGCGCTGAGGGACGGGGACGCGCAGGGAGCGCCGTTGCGGGACGGTGGGGGGTTCCGCAGCGGGGGAGCGTACAGGGACGCGGGGATGGGCATGAGGGACGCGGCAGCACCAGGTTACCGGGAGATGGGCGGCGCTGGTCCGTTCCGCGACAGGGAGGTGGCTCCGGGGCACGATGGCGCCATGGCGGCGAGCGGCGGTGGAGGAACCTTGAACCGATTGTCAGGCAGTGGCAGCGGGGGAAACCTAAACCGTCTATCAAACGACACTGTAACGGGGATGATGACGTCAACATCGTCCCCGCCTCGGTACCGCCCCAACGCAGCTGCAGGCGGGCCGGCGTTTTTGGGGTCGCCGGCCATGAGCGACGCCATGGGCATGGGGGGAGGCATGGGACCGCCCATGGCGGGCGCGATGGGGGGGCCGATGGGGGGCCAGCGGCAGAAGCGGCGGGGCAGCAGCGCGCGGTACTACTACCAGTTGGTGGCGGTGGTGCGGCAGAACCTGCCTTATTTGGTGATCGCGCTGCTGCTGGCCGTCATCGCGCTCATGCGCACGCCCGCCCCCGCCCCCGCCGCCACGCCCGCCGCCCTCGCCACCGCCTCCCTCGCAGCAGGCGGGGCGGACCCCGCAGCAGCAGCGGGGGGTGCGGCAGGGGGAAAGCAGGTGGTGAACGGGGCGGGAATGGGAGGGGGGACAGCAGGGACGGCAGGAGGAGGGGCAGGGGGGGGGGCAGGGGGAGGAGGGGCGAAACCAGGGGAGGTGGCAGGCAGACAGGTGCTGCAGGGGGCGGGGCGGGCGGCGGGGGCAGTGCCCGCTGCCACGGCAGGCACAGCAGCGGGGAAGGCCGCGGGCGGAGCAGGGGGGGGTCAGGCGTGGGGGGACTGTCGCTGGGGCTGAGTCGGTTTGGGCTGGGCGGCGGGCAGAAGACGAACCTGATCAGCATCCTCAAGGCCAACCCCGACGCCGTGGAGGCGCGCGAGGCCACGCGCAACTACCGGTTCAGGGAGCACGCGCCGGTGTACGGGCTGGTGCACTTCGCGAGCTACCGCATGAGCGCCGTGAAGTTCGCCATCGTGGGGCTGGCAGGGCGCGCGCTGAGGGAGTCGCGGAAGCTGGGCAAGTGCCTGTGGAAGGAGAAGAACGGCGGACACCGCGTCACCGGCACTCTCACAGGTGGGGTGGTGCTGCGTCACAGGCACACTCACAGGTGGGGTGGTGCTGCATCACAGGCACACTCACAGGTGGGGTGGTGCTGCATCACAGGCACACTCACAGGTGGGGTGGTGCTGCATCACCGGCACACTCACAGGTGGGGTGGTGCTGCATCACCGGCACACTCACAGGTGGGGTGGTGCTGCATCACAGGCACACTCACAGGTGGGGTGGTGCTGCATCACAGGCACACTCACAGGTGGGGTGGTGCTGCATCACAGGCACACTCACAGGTGGGGTGGTGCTGCATCACAGGCACACTCACAGGTGGGGTGGTGCTGCATCACAGGCACACTCACAGGTGGGGTGGTGCTGCATCACAGGCACACTCACAGGTGGGGTGGTGCTGCATCACAGGCACACTCACAGGTGGGGTGGTGCTGCATCACCGGCACACTCACAGGTGGGGTGGTGCTGCATCACCGGCACACTCACAGGTGGGGTGGTGCTGCATCACAGGCACACTCACAGGTGGGGTGGTGCTGCATCACAGGCACACTCACAGGTGGGGTGGTGCTACATCACAGGCACACTCACAGGTGGGGTGGTGCTGCATCACAGGCACACTCACAGGTGGGGTGGTGCTACATCACAGGCACACTCACAGGTGGGGTGGTGCTGCATCACAGGCACACTCACAGGTGGGGTGGTGCTGCATCACAGGCACACTCACAGGTGGGGTGGTGCTGCATCACAGGCACACTCACAGGTGGGGTGGTGCTGCATCACAGGCACACTCACAGGTGGGGTGGTGCTGCATCACAGGCACACTCACAGGTGGGGTGGTGCTGCATCACAGGCACACTCACAGGTGGGGTGGTGCTGCATCACAGGCACACTCACAGGTGGGGTGGTGCTGCATCACCGGCACACTCACAGGTGGGGTGGTGCTGCCTCACAGGCACACTCACAGGTGGGGTGGTGCTGCATCACAGGCACACTCACAGGTGGGGTGGTGCTGCATCACAGGCACACTCACAGGTGGGGTGGTGCTGCATCACAGGCACACTCACAGGTGGGGTGGTGCTGCATCACAGGCACACTCACAGGTGGGGTGGTGCTGCATCACAGGCACACTCACAGGTGGGGTGGTGCTGCATCACCGGCACACTCACAGGTGGGGTGGTGCTGCATCACCGGCACACTCACAGGTGGGGTGGTGCTGCATCACCGGCACACTCACAGGTGGGGTGGTGCTGCATCACAGGCACACTCACAGGTGGGGTGGTGCTGCATCACAGGCACACTCACAGGTGGGGTGGTGCTACATCACAGGCACACTCACAGGTGGGGTGGTGCTGCATCACAGGCACACTCACAGGTGGGGTGGTGCTGCATCACAGGCACACTCACAGGTGGGGTGGTGCTGCATCACAGGCACACTCACAGGTGGGGTGGTGCTGCAACACAGGCACACTCACAGGTGGGGTGGTGCTGCATCACAGGCACACTCACAGGTGGGGTGGTGCTGCATCACCGGCACACTCACAGGTGGGGTGGTGCTGCATCACCGGCACACTCACAGGTGGGGTGGTGCTGCATCACAGGCACACTCACAGGTGGGGTGGTGCTGCATCACAGGCACACTCACAGGTGGGGTGGTGCTACATCACAGGCACACTCACAGGTGGGGTGGTGCTGCATCACAGGCACACTCACAGGTGGGGTGGTGCTACATCACAGGCACACTCACAGGTGGGGTGGTGCTGCATCACAGGCACACTCACAGGTGGGGTGGTGCTGCATCACAGGCACACTCACAGGTGGGGTGGTGCTGCATCACCGGCACACTCACAGGTGGGGTGGTGCTGCATCACCGGCACACTCACAGGTGGGGTGGTGCTGCATCACAGGCACACTCACAGGTGGGGTGGTGCTGCATCACAGGCACACTCACAGGTGGGGTGGTGCTACATCACAGGCACACTCACAGGTGGGGTGGTGCTGCATCACAGGCACACTCACAGGTGGGGTGGTGCTACATCACAGGCACACTCACAGGTGGGGTGGTGCTGCATCACAGGCACACTCACAGGTGGGGTGGTGCTGCATCACAGGCACACTCACAGGTGGGGTGGTGCTGCATCACAGGCACACTCACAGGTGGGGTGGTGCTGCATCACAGGCACACTCACAGGTGGGGTGGTGCTGCATCACAGGCACACTCACAGGTGGGGTGGTGCTGCATCACAGGCACACTCACAGGTGGGGTGGTGCTACATCACAGGCACACTCACAGGTGGGGTGGTGCTGCATCACAGGCACACTCACAGGTGGGCTGGTGCTGCATCACAGGCACACTCACAGGTGGGGTGGTGCTGCATCACCGGCACACTCACAGGTGGGGTGGTGCTGCATCACAGGCACACTCACAGGTGGGGTGGTGCTGCATCACAGGCACACTCACAGGTGGGGTGGTGCTACATCACAGGCACACTCACAGGTGGGGTGGTGCTGCATCACAGGCACACTCACAGGTGGGGTGGTGCTACATCACAGGCACACTCACAGGTGGGGTGGTGCTACATCACAGGCACACTCACAGGTGGGGTGGTGCTGCATCACAGGCACACTCACAGGTGGGGTGGTGCTGCATCACAGGCACACTCACAGGTGGGGTGGTGCTGCATCACAGGCACACTCACAGGTGGGGTGGTGCTGCATCACAGGCACACTCACAGGTGGGGTGGTGCTGCATCACAGGCACACTCACAGGTGGGGTGGTGCTGCATCACAGGCACACTCACAGGTGGGGTGGTGCTGCATCACCGGCACACTCACAGGTGGGGTGGTGCTGCATCACAGGCACACTCACAGGTGGGGTGGTGCTGCATCACAGGCACACTCACAGGTGGGGTGGTGCTGCATCACAGGCACACTCACAGGTGGGGTGGTGCTGCATCACAGGCACACTCACAGGTGGGGTGGTGCTGCATCACAGGCACACTCACAGGTGGGGTGGTGCTGCATCACAGGCACACTCACAGGTGGGGTGGTGCTGCATCACCGGCACACTCACAGGTGGGGTGGTGCTGCATCACCGGCACACTCACAGGTGGGGTGGTGCTGCATCACCGGCACACTCACAGGTGGGGTGGTGCTGCATCACAGGCACACTCACAGGTGGGGTGGTGCTGCATCACAGGCACACTCACAGGTGGGGTGGTGCTACATCACAGGCACACTCACAGGTGGGGTGGTGCTGCAACACAGGCACACTCACAGGTGGGGTGGTGCTGCATCACAGGCACACTCACAGGTGGGGTGGTGCTGCATCACAGGCACACTCACAGGTGGGGTGGTGCTGCAACACAGGCACACTCACAGGTGGGGTGGTGCTGCATCACAGGCACACTCACAGGTGGGGTGGTGCTGCATCACAGGCACACTCACAGGTGGGGTGGTGCTGCATCACAGGCACACTCACAGGTGGGGTGGTGCTGCATCACAGGCACACTCACAGGTGGGGTGGTGCCAGTGAGGAACGTCGGAGTTGGTGGGTATAGCAGGCGATCATCATGCTCAGTATGTCTCTGCTTGCCCGAGTCATGCATGTTTCATTTCTCTGCGTGCTCATGCATGTTTCTAAGCATGCGCTAAGCATGCACGTTGCACGCCTCCCGTGCGCTTATCATGCATGTTGCAAGTCTCTGCATGCTTTGATCTTGCATCTTGCATGTCTCTGCTTGCCCTTATCATGCATGTTGCATGTCTCTGCATGCTTTGATCTTTGCATGTGGCATGTCCCTGCTTGCCCTTATCATGCATGTTGCATGTCTCTGTATGCTTTGATCTTGCATGTTGCATGTCTCTGCTTGCCCTTATCATGCATGTTGCATGTCTCTGCATGCTTTGATCTTGCATGTTGCATGTCTCTGCTTGCCCTTATCATGCATGTTGCATGTCTCTGCATGCTTTGATCTTGCATGTTGCAGGTCTCTGCCTGCCCTTATCATGCATGTTGCATGTCTCTGCATGCTTTGATCTTGCATGTTGCATGTCTCTGCTTGCCCTTATCATGCATGTTACATGTCTCTGCATGCTTTGATCTTGCATGTAGACATGGGTATATCGCATCGTATCGCGATATGTCGCATCGCATTTTATCGCATTTTGCGATTGCGATTTTTATTTTTTTTTACTAAAAATCGCAGGGATGCAATGTGATAATATCGCGCGATTTTTGCGATATCGCGCAGTTATCGCGGATTTTTCAGCGCGATATAACGCGATATGCGATATTAAAATATCGTGCGCCATACATCCGCATATCGCGTCGCGGAATTGTGGCAGAAAGGGGGGGAAACATGGGCGCGGGCCCTGAACTTGGCAAAAATTCGGGTTCTCTGGTTGTAATGGCGTGCGGAAATTGCGCGCGGCTGTTTGGGGTTGGCGTAATTGACGGGGAGGTGTTTGTGAGGAGCTTGGAGAGGAAGGGTTGGAAATTCTAGTTGAAAAGGAGTGCAGTGCGGTTGAGGGAAGGGAGTTGGTTGGAGGTTCAAATTTTGACATGGGTGGTGGTGGATGGAATGTGGTGGTGTGCGGTTAAAGGGATTTAGGGGGTTGATGGAAATCTCGATCCCCACTAAGTCAATTGGTTGGAAGTCCAACCAATTTCCACCACTTCAACCGCACTACATTCCTCCACATCTACGGAATCCAACCCCTGCCCTTCTAACACGCTTTAAATCAGAGAGGGGCTACGATTTCCCATTCTCCCCTTAAACTTCACTCACCTAATTCCTCGCACACCTAGGAAAGCCGGCCTTGTCGTTCTGCTTTTCTCCTCCGACCCCTAAATGTGATGCGATATTAAATCGCATTCATGGGTGCGATATTTTGTAACATGGCACCCTAAAAAGCGATATGCGATTTCAATTTTTGAAACCAGCGATGCGATATCGCATCGCTGCGATATCACGCGCGATATGACAAAATGCGATGCGATATCGCATCGCATCGCATTTTAACCATGTCTACTTGCATGTTGCATGTCTCTGATTGCCCTTGTCATGCATGTTGCATGTCTCTGCATGCTTTGATCTTGCATGTTGCATGTCTCTGCTTGCCCTTATCATGCATGTTGCATGTCTCTGCATGCTTTGATCGTGCATGTTGCATGTCTCTGCTTGCCCTTATCATGCATGTTGCACGTCTCTGCATGCTTTGAACTATCATGTTGCATGTCTCTGCTTGCCCTTATCATGCATGTTCACTGGCGCATGCTGCTTGCTTATCCTGCTTGTGTGGCAACCCTCCAAGGTTTGTCCACCACCATACGCCCACTTCATGCCGCCCTTCCCTCCCGGCCGCCCCAGCATACTACCCGGGCGAGCACCACAACCTGCGGTACGAGGCGGTGGTGCTGGTGTGCGAGCTGGAGGAGTCCACGGAGGCGGACTACGGGGGGCTGCTGCTGGCGACGGTGGACAAGGAGGACGTGGTGGCGTACCTGGAGGAGGCGCACCACTTCCCCTCCGCCACGCCCAAGGCGCCCTTCAAGTACCAGCTCACGTACTGCTCGCCGCCGCTGGCGGGCAAGATCATCCCGCGGCGCATGTACGAGTGGATGGAGTTCCACCTGCACACGGCCGTCGACCGCATGGTGCTGTACGACGCGGGCGGCATCGGCGCGGCGCTGATGGCGGTGCTGGAGCCGTACACGGAGCAGGGCTTGGTGGAGGTGGTGGACGTGCGCGGGATCACTGCGTACGAGGCGTGGGAGAAGGGCCGCCTGCTCGTGCTCAACGACTGCGTGCAGCGCCACCGCTTCACCTCCAAGTGGGTCTTCTTCGCCGAGATGACCGACTTCTTCTCTGCCGCCAACGGCGAGACGCTGCTCGCCACCGTCAACGCGTACGACGGCCGCCCCTACGTCACGTTCGGCAGCCGCTGGTGGTCGTTTGAGAAGTGCACCTTCTCGTCGCTCACAGAGCGCATCGTGGTGCGCGGCGCCGCCATGCTGGAGGGCGCGGGGGCGGGCGACGAGGGCAAGGCGGACGTGGGGGGGATAGCGGAGGGCGGCGCGGGGGAGGGCGGTGTGCAGGTGACGGAGGGCGCGGAGAAGGCAGCGGTGGAGCAGCCGTGGGCGTTGGAGCGCATGCTGTTCCGGTGGCCGCACATCTACTGCACCAACAAGGAGGCGTACCCGCGCTGGGAGCTCTGCCTAGACTACCACGGCTTTCGCCGCGTGGCGGCGGACCCGCGGCAGGTGATAGCGGTGCAGATCCACCGCGTGGAGGTGCCGCGCATGGGCGGTGTGGACGTGGACACGGACGCGGCGCGCTTCAACCACTTCCAGGGGCTGCTGGAGGACGAGCGCAAGTTCTGCATCAAGAGCGTGCGCCCCGGCGAGCAGCTCGAGTGGTGGGTGCGCGATCAGTCCCTGGCGCTGCTCGCACAGGAGGCCAGGCAGTCGCCGCGCGCCAAGTTCAAGACCAGAGGGGGGTGAGAGGGGGGGGGGGGGAGGGGGAGAGTTGGGTAGGGGGGTGAGGGAGGGGGGAGGAATGGGGCGAGAGATCTCCATTGTGGAGCCATGTATTGGTGGACATGACCTGATGTTGTGGCACATCTGTTCCAACAGGGTGGTTGTGGTGTCTGTTGTAGTATAATTTATACTTACCATTTCTGTAAGTCGTTTATCGATAGGTAGTGTCGAATCCTACTGTAGAAGATAAGTCCGTAGGATGACGTCAGCAAATACGGTAGCGCTCGTCATAGGACAATCGTTTTCAGTCACGCGATCAGTCGCACCTCTTCATTATCATTTAGGGCGCATAGCGCGATAGTGACGAACAGGTACATTTGCGAACAGGTACTTTCCTAGAGCTATAAATCCTTGTTACGGTATGCCTTTTTCATTATTAACTTTTGATTACCGTACTCACAAGTTCACGTACTCAGGTTATTCAACCTTGACTGCTACATTTTACAAGACTTCCGCAGTCTTACTAGTCTACCATTCCAGTAAAGATCCTAGGCCAACACTTGAGGTTTTCCAAGTGTTCGTGTTTGCAGATTTATACTTAGTCTCCTGCAACACCTGACAAATCATTACATGGTATGAGAGCTATCTGGAATTAAGACTACTGTCAACAATGACTGGAGCATCACCAGCACCATCTACTGGATCTAGTTCTGGAACTACTGGAGTACATGTCTCCACGACCGCCACTGGTCTCTCAGCCTCTGGACCGTTTCCACCGGCTTATGCGAACATCGGCATGCAGCAGCAGCAGCAGAATCCGCCTTCTGTCTGTACTCCGGGGGTTTCATCGACTGCACCTGCAGCGCAACAGCAACAAACACAGTCAACAGCACAACAACAAGCAACAGCACAACCACCGTTTTCAACACAGTCAATATCATCGGCGTTAAGTGGAATGAGCCTTGACGGCTCGAGTTATATGCGTGGAGCCACAGCTCCAAGTGTCAAACATGTGTATTTGTCATGTTTGTATAGACTGTATAGAGTCACCTCTTAGAGGATACAAAACTTAGATATATTTGTGTGTACTCTCACTTTACATAATCATTCAATTCTAAGTTTCTGATATGGTATCACGCGTAGGTAGGATCCTCCCCACCTACCGCTTCCGCTCATCCCCCCTGGCCCTGTAGCGCCCCCCCTCAGGCCCCGTCGCGCCCCTCCCAGGCCCTCTAGCGCCCCTCCTGGGCCTCGTCGCGTTCCTCCCAGGCCCCGTAGCGCCACGTCGCGCCCCTCCTGGGCCCCCGTAGCGCCCCCCCCCTGGGCCTCGTCGCGCCCCTCCTGGGCTTCGTAGCGCCCCTCCTGGGCCCTGTACGCCCTCCCAGGACCCGTCGCGCCCCTCCCAGGCCCCGTCGCGCCTCTCCCCAGGCCCTCTAGCGCCCCCCCCTGGGCCCGTCGCGCTCCTCCCAGGCCCCGTAGCACCCCGTCGCGCCCCTCCTGGGCCCCGTAGCGCCCCTCCTGGGCCTCGTCGCGCCCCTCCTGGGCTTCGTAGCGCCCCTCCTGGGCCCTGTAACGCCTCCTAGGCCCCGTCGCGCCCCTCCCAGGCCCCCGTCCCGCTCCTCCCCAGGCCCCTAGGCCCCTCCTGGGCCCCGTCGCGCTCCTCCCAAACCTCGTAGCGCCCCTCCTGGGCTCTGTCGCGCCCCTCCTGGGCCCCGTCGGCGCTCCTTCCAGGCCCCGTAGCGCCCCTCCTGGGCTCTGTCGCGCCCCTCCTGGGCTCCGTAGCGCCCCTCCTGGCTTCGTAGCGCCTCTCCTGGCCCCCCGTCGTGCCCCTCCTGGGCCAAGTAGCCCCTCCTGGGCCGCGTCGTACCCGTCGCCGCCGCCCGGCCCGTCGCGCCCGCCCGGCGCCGTCGCGCCCGCCCGACCCGTCGCGCCCGCCCGGCCCCGTCGCGCCCGCCGGCGCCGTCGCAGCTGCCGCCCGTCGCACCCGCCCGGCGCCGTCGCACCCTGCCCGGCCCCGTCGCGCCCGCCCGGCCCCGTCGCACCCTGCCTGGTCCCGTCGCAGCCGCCCGCCCCGTCGCACCCACCCGGCCCCGTCGCACCCTGCCGGCCCGTCGCAGCCGCCCGGCCCCGTCGCACCAGCCCGGCCGCGTCCCGCTCGCCCGCCCGTCGCACCGGCCCGGCCCTGCGCACTCGCCCCCGTCGCCCCAGCCCGGCCCGTCGCGCCCGCTCGGCCCGTCGCCCCTCCCGGCCCTGTCGCACCAGCCCGGCCCCGTCGGGCCAGCCCCGGCCCCGTTCTCCTCACTGGTACGGTTCCCCCCCCCCCCCCCCCACCCCGCCCTGCTCCGTGCCGCCCTGCACCGCACTGCACCGCACTGTACCGCACTGCACCGCACTGTACCGCACTGTACGCACTGCACCGCACTGCATCGCACTGCACCGCACTGCACCGCACTGCACCGCACTGTATCGCACTGCACCGCACCCCACCTAGCTGCACCGCCCTGCACAGCACTGGACTGTTCCTGATGGCGGCGGAGCTTCGCTTCGACGCTGAAGGTCAGCCCCTAGAGTTCGAGGCGTGGCTTGCCGACCTCCGCCGCCAACTCACTGGCCAGCGGCAGGATGGTGAACCGCTTTCCGCACACCTTGACGGTACGCTCCCCTGCCCAGACCCTCCTGCTATTCTGCCCGCTGACCCCACACCCACTGAGCGTGAGTCTACTGCTGCCACTGCCCGTGCGCGCTCTGTCTGGCTTTCTCGCGATGCTGTCGCCCAGCTTGCCATTAGCAACGCCCTTCCCCCGTCCGAGCGCCCTCGCTTTAGGTCCCTCACTACTGCTCAGGCATACTTAGATGCTGTCATCAAGCGCTATTCCACCCCTCCGGCTGCCTCGGTGGGTCGCCTGATCCTCCCACTGCTCTTTCCTGACCTTGCTTCGTTCCCACTGTCTCTGACCTCGCTGCCCACCTGCGCTCGATAGAGGAGACCTGGCGCGCCGCCTGCACTGACACACAGCTTAGAGCCCACCAGCCGCCCATTGCCTCTACCCTCTACCTGCTTGCCACCCGCCTCCCTGACCGCCTTGCTGTCGCCCGCGACCGCTTCCTTAGTGTTCACCCCGCAGACCTCACCCTCACTGACTTTGTCGACACCCTGACTGTGATAGAGACCCGTCACCGCTCCATCGCCCAGGCGAGCGGTGTCGTGCCGGTCCCTATCTTTCAGGGTTGTGCCCCCGCTCAGTGTACCTTCTCCGACGGCTCTGCCGCAGTGGCTGAGACTGCTGCTGCAGCGCAGGCCCGTTCTGGGAAGGGCCGCCGCCCCAAGGCTGGGCGCGGCGGAGGGGGCGGCGGGGGTGCGGGCGGGGGTAGTGGTGGGGTCGGGTCGCCTGGTGCTGGAGCGGACGAGGGGACCCTGCCCAGTCCAGCTGAGTCGCCGCCCCTGCAGTTGCAGCAGCCGCAGCAGCCGCCGCAGTCGCAGCCTTCGCAGCAGCCGCAGCAGCCGTCGCAGACGCGGCAGACTGAGTGTTCTCCCCGCCAGGGTGGCCCGACGCTGGCGGTGGACGGGCGCGTGGTGGTGTGCCGCATGGTGGCTCTGCCGGCCGGCGTTGTCAGTACCAGATCCAGACCGGTCCTCGCCGCGGCTTCGTTTGCGGTAAGATCGGTCACTCCACTCCCCGCTGCTTTCGTCGCCTGGACGACCTCTTTCGTCAGCGTTTCGGCCCGTCGCCAGACCTCCCGGACTGGCACAGTTTGCTTAGTCGTCAGATTCAGATCTTTGATATGGACATGGATGCCATTGTTTCTGCTCTGCATGTGATGTATGCTGATGACTCTAGTGTGCTTCCGACTTATTACTCACTGTTGCCTAGTGTAGGTGTGCCTAGCTTAGCCTCCCCTGCTGCGTCAGGCGTAGGATCCCCTCCTTTGTGTAGTCTTGGTGCTTCTGCCGTCGTTCCGTCGCCAGACCCCTCGGCTTCGCTTTCCTTCACCTTGGACTCTGGCGCCTCTCGGTGTTTCTTCCGCGACTCCACCACCCTGACGCCGCTTCCTGTTCCTGCTGCCGTTTCTCTTGCTGACCCCTCCGGCGGTCCGGTAGTCGCCCGCAGTTCCACCACCCTTCCCTGTCCGGCGGTTCCTTCGGGCTCTCTTACAGGTCTGCATATCCCTCGTTCTCCAGGAACCTAGTTGGTGTCGGCTGCCTCCAGGACCTTGGCGTCACCACTACGTTCCCTGGTCACGAGCGGTATGCTGTCTGTACCGAGGCCGCCACTGGTGCCCCCTGTCCACGTTCCCCCGGGACCCGGTGTCCGGCCTGTTCACTCTGGACACCGTGCCCCCCCCGGCTGGAGCGCCCCCTCAGGTGGCTGTGTCTACCCAGGTTGCTGCTGCCTGCTCCTGTCGCTCCCTCACTCACCCGACCCTCCTGTGGCACCACCGCCTAGGTCACCCTGCGCTCCCGCGTCTGCGTCACATGTCCCAGCACGGTCTTGTCCTTGGTCTCCCAGGTTCACTCCCCGCGTTTCCTCCTCCCCAGCTCCACCTTGCACGCCTTGTGTCGAGGGTCGGCTTCGCCGTGCCCTCACTCCTCCTCGTTCCCCCCTACCGCCGCGCCGCTGCAGACCCTGCACATGGACGTCTGGGGCCCCGCCCCCGTCCATGGGCCGCGTCGAGAGCGCTACTTCCTTGTGCTTGTCGACGACTTCACTCGTTACACCACAGTCTTTCCCCTGGAGCGCAAGGCCGACGTGCCTGGCGCCCTCATCCCTGGCTTGTCTCTGCGCGTGTCCACCGCGGTCTCCCTGTCTTGCGTCTTCACTCAGACCGTGGTGGCGAGTTTGCCTCAGGTGTCCTTGGTCGCTTTTGTCGTGCGGAGGGCATCACCCAGACGTTCACCCTACCGGACTCCCCACAGCAGAATGGGGTCGCTGAGCGACGCATCGGTTTGGTCATGGAGGTCGCTCGCACCTCCATGGTCCATGCCGGTGCACCCCATTTTCTGTGGCCGTTCGCTGTGCGCTACGCTTCTCACCAGCTTAACCTGTGGCCGCACCCTCAGCAGCCGCAGGTTTCGCCGACCCGTCTGTGGACTGGGTCTCCTGGTGACGCGTCTGCGTTCCACGTCTGGGGCTGCCTTGCTCACGTCCGTGCCTCCGGCACGGACAAGCTCACTGCCCGCACCCTTCCCTGCGTCTTCCTCGGTTTTCCCTTGACGCGTCCGACTGGCACTTTTACCACCCGCCGTCTCACCGCTTCTTTCACTCTCGTGACGTCACCTTTGACGAGTCCGTCTCCTACTACCGCCGCTTCCCCCACCGTGGTCCCCCGGTTACCCCCCCCCTGTTCCTGGTCACCCTTCCCCGGTAGTCCCTGCCCCTCCTCCTCCTCCTCCCCGTCCCGCCCCTCTGGTGTCTCCCACGTCCCCCCCTTCCGTCCGTGGACCCGGTTGAGGAGTCTTCTGACTCTGGTGGCCCTCCGGTGCAGTTCTCGCCGGCCGCCCTCCCCAGGTGTCCCCTCCCCAGTCCCCTCCTCCGCGCCCTGCCGCCACTGCAGCCGTCGCCGTCGCCGCGCCGCGCCGCCGCGCGTCGCAGCCCCGTTCGCTGACTCTGGGGGTGCTCGTCCCGGTCGCCCTGAGGGTGGTCCCTCTGGGGGTGCGGGTGTGGAGAGTGCCGGTGGTAGCCGCGGCGCAGCTTGCGGTCCAGGTGTCGCGTTGTGCTGCCGCAGCAGCAGTCCCGCCGGTGTCCGCCCTTCGCCTGCTCGGCCTTCCGTCCCCGACCCTGCGTCGGTTTCTCCCCAACCGTCTCCTCCTCTTCCTGTCTACGGCCCTGTTTTCCCTCCGCCGGACTCGTCCCCGGCCCGTCTCCCCCTCGTTCCCCTCCTGTGTCCCCTCCCCTGTCTCCTGACCCGACTCCTCCGTCGCACGTCTGGTCTCACCGTCCCTCCCGTGCTCGTCCTGCCTCGCCTGTCCTGCGCTCCCACCCTATGTTGCTTCGTTCACACGCGTCTCGTCCTCCCTTCTGCCGTTGCCTCCTCCGTCCTCCCTTGTTGTTGCGCCCCCCCCGCTGTCTGACTACCTTCGTGCCGCTCGTCCTCTCGTTCCTCGGGTCCTTGCCTCTCTCGTTACCGACCCGTCTGTTCCAGTCTCGTGCCTTGACGCTCTTGTCGCTGCTGTCGCTGACTTCGCCTCTACCGCCGCCTTGACTACGCCACCGCTCTGGTCTCTGACCCTGCCTGTCCTCCGTCTGTCGGGGTGCTCCTGCCCTTGGCAGTGACGTCCTGGAGGACCGCCAGTTTGAGCTTGCTTTCCTCTCCGAGGCTGCTCCCCATCTCTGTTCCATGCTGCTAGTCCCTGAGGGTGACCCAGACGCTTTCGACATCCCGACCCCTCGCACTTACGCTGAGGCGACTTCGGGACCCTGGGCCTCGCAGTGGATAGCTGCCATGGAGCAGGAGATGGCATCTTGGAGATCCACCGGCACCTTCGTCGACGCAGTTCCCCCACCTGGGGTGAACGTAGTCGATGGCCGCTGGCTCTTCAAGGTGAAGCGCCCTCCTGGAGAGCCGCCTGTCTTCAAGGCGCGCTATGTGGCTAGAGGCTTCAGTCAGCGCGAGGGGGTGGACTTCTTCCAGACTTTCGCTCCGACCCCGAAGATGACTACTCTTCGGGTTCTGTTACACCTAGCTGCTCAGCGTGACTACGAGCTTCACTCCCTCGACTTCTCCACTGCCTTCCTTCAGGGCAGCCTACACGAGCAGGTCTACCTGCGCCGCCCTCCGGGCTTTACTGGCACCTTCCCTCCTGGGACCCAGTGGCTCCTGCGGCGCCCCGTCTACGGCCTGCGCCAGGCTCCCCGTGAGTGGCACGACACTCTGCGTGCTACGCTTGCTGACCTGCAGTTCTTTCCGTCTTCTGCAGACCCTTCACTCTTCGTTCGTGGTGGCGAGACTCCGTTCTACATCCTCGTTTACGTCGACCACCTGGTCTTTGCCACAGCAGACAGGGACGCGCTGGCCTCCGTGAAGGCAGAGCTGCTGAAGAGACACACCTGCACTGACCTTGGAGAACTGCGCCGTTACCTTGGCTTGCAGATCTCCAGGGACAGAGCAGCGCGCACCATCACCCTGACTCAGTCACACTTGGTGCGCCAGGTCCTTCAGAGGTTCAGCCTTCAGTTCTCCTCTGCACAGCCCACCCCTCTGCCTGTAGACCACAGGCTCTCCGCTCCAGTGCCTGAGGAGTTGGTAGAGCCCAGCGGCCCCTACGCAGAGCTGGTGGGTTGCCTCATGTACCTGATGACTTGCACTCGCCCAGATCTCGCATACCCTCTCAGCATCCTGGCTCGCTTTGTGGCCACAGGCACACACCGACCGCAGCACTGGTCTGCCGCTAAGAGGGTTCTGCGTTATCTTGCTAGTACATCGGGCATGGGGTTAGTGCTAGGAGGACGCAGGCCAGCGGTCCTTACTGGGCACACAAACGCTTCGTGGGCAGACGACGCTGAGACACTCAGGTCTACCCAGGGCTACTGCTTCAGCCTTGGCTCAGGTGCCGTCTCGTGGAGAGCTACTCGCTCCTCGTCTGTTGCACAGTCCAGCTGTGAGGCCGAGATCTACGCCGGTGCCATGGCGGCACAGGAGCTCCGCTGGCTGACCTTCTTGCTCACTGACTTAGGTGAGCGGCCTAGCTCTGCCCCGGTCCTGTTCGCTGACAACAGGGCCATGATCCTCCTGTGTCAGGAGCCTCGACTCGAGGGCAGAGCGAAGCACATTCAGCTGCGGTACTTCCTCCTGCGTGAGCTACAGCAGCGACGTCAGGCTCGCGTAGTACACTTGGCCTCAGGTGCCAACACGGCTGATATCTTTACGAAGGCGCTTGCGCCTAAAGATCATCAGCGGCACTGTGTACAGCTTGGTCTAGTTCCTGTAGCCTCTCACTTGCTAGGACCTTGACTTTGTACTGTCCTTTATATGTATACTCAGACTGGACTTGTGTCCTCTCCCAGTGGCTGGACTAGTAGTGCCGCCCTGCTCTTGTGCTTGCCTTGTCTGTACTCCTTCTGACCGGTCGCTCAGACCTTGCCTCAGAGGTTGGACTAGTAGTGCCGCCCTGAGCTGCTTGTTTAGGGTATTCCCTTATGCAGTCTAGGGGGTGTGTCAAACATGTGTATTTGTCATGTTTGTATAGACTGTATAGAGTCACCTCTTAGAGGATACAAAACTTAGATATATTTGTGTGTACTCTCACTTTACATAATCATTCAATTCTAAGTTTCTGATACCAAGTACTGGTTCGTTTGCTTTCTCACCTTTTGCGCAGCAGCCACAGTCACAGCAGCAGCAGCATCCCTTTTACATCTTCGGGCGTCCTCCTGCTCAGCAACAGCAACAACAACAGCATCAACAGCCACAGCAATTTCAGCAACAGCAACAACACTAATAGCAACAGCAGCAACAGCAACAGCCTCAACAACCGGGTATTATTTCTCAACCGCCAAATTTGCTTAACAGTACATAGATTAAAACCACCATACCTTTTAATGGAGTTGATTTTTACTCCTGGACCTTCGAGTTTGAGCTTCTGGCGCAGTCCGCTGGGCTATGGCCGTTCTTCACCGGTGAGTTTACTTATCCTGTTGTGGGAACACAACTAGATCAGCAGAGTTTTTTGCACGCCTCTCTCGGTGCGTATACAGTACTTGTACGGAACCTATCGCCGAAGGAGCAGTTCGGTATCTGATCGTTTCATTCAAGCTTTACACCAGCTGAAACTGCATGGAACCACTTGAAGGGGGTTTACATGGCAAAAGATACAATAACAGTGAGTAAGATTCTTTCGCAGTTAACAAGTGTGCAGATGATGACAAACGAGAACATCATGGATCACGTCAACCGCGTCCGTACACTACGGGATCAACAGGAGAACGTGGATCGTCGGATCGGTGCGGAATCAACGGCACGAATACAGCAGAGACTACACTATGGGAAATCATCATCATGGAGACAACATTCGGTACCAGCGACTGCACAATCGACGCATCTTCTGACTGGTGTCGATAACGATCGAGTTATTTTGACGAAGTCATCTTCGTTAAAAACAGATCGACATCAACACGACGGGATCTTCACCCAGGAAAAACAATGGAGCTGCGTGAAGACATGTTCTCCATCCACGAGACACTTTTTCATACAAATTGATCGACAAGTTATGGGATTGCAGAGAAGTAGCCGTTTTCTCTTGCAATGCTCCCAAGTTCAAGTTGCTGCAAAGGAGCAGATTTCGCACGCAACGACGACGCAGTGAACCCGTCTCGTCAAGGCCAGCGAGACACTACTTCGTAACAGGAGCTGAACAATTCGTTTTCATCAAGAATCTCAGCCATCCGAGGTGATTGATTGGAGAAGTCTCAACATCGACCTCACGAGGCGACACACCAATCATGCGTCGCGATTCCAGGTGTTAATGACCTGCGTGGAAGAAAATTCCGTGCACGTCACGATGCTTGACAGATTGAGGAGTAATTAACCTCTAATCCGGCAAGTACTCGTTCACTAGCGACCCTACGGCACATGCATTGGAGGCGATTCTACCAGAAGCCGAAGCGTTACAAGCACCAACGTAACTTCGACGATGCAGGAGAACGTCAAGGAACACGAGGTGTCAACAAATGAGGGAGATGCGGACTACTACAACACGATCACGCGCTCTACCGACCGTACATCGGAGGCACGGATGAGCATACCAGGAATTGCTACCCGTGGATACTTTGAGGGGAGAAGCAAATTTCTCTTCACACCCTCAAATGAAACAATCACCGGCAGCAATGGAGCAACACATGTGTACCAATGTGCACGTGTTCCTGGTAGTTACGCCTGTTACACCCATCAGGAACACTCTACTGGGAAGGGGGAGTTGATGGATTCTCCTTCAACCGGTATGAGTTAAGAGAATTCTCTGCAGCAGGTGCCGCCGTCGCCATCGTCGCAACCGCCACCGCCGCCGCAGCAGAAGACTCGACACAACATTCATATCCAAACCCTGATGGATGATTCTCCGCTCAATGGATATAATGCTGGATTATATTCCAGTGGATCGTAAAGACCCGGCCAGGCACTACATTGATTTCCAGCTAGTGGGAAGGAGATACCACTATGCGAGGAAACAACATGGCAATGCCATATACCCTCAAGAGCATCAGATATTTGCTCTTATGGGGATGGGAGGACCACGGTGCTCTACCGATATACAGTCCTCATGGCCTATGGCTTTCCTTAAAGTCATAAAACCTGCGTCGCAACCAATCCATCACCAGCACCAGCTCCACGGAAGCAGATAGGCGTGGAATGGAGCGCCGACGCCACTCCGGACAGTGGACTCCGCGTATCTCCAACAACACCCCTGTTTGCCGAAATGGAGCAGACTTCAACACCGATGCTGAGTAGCCGAGACGTCTTCGACTGCAACGCTACTTCAAGGACAGTGGCAGAATAAGACAACACATGATAGCACCAGAAGACCTATCCCAATATGTGCGCCCAGACACCGATGCCTACCAATGGCCTCCGTGCTAAACTGGAAGCGCATAAGGTCATACTGGATTGGCTGTCACCAATGCTCATTTGGAAATGGGAGAGGATTACTTGGGAATACCCGTAACGTTCCCAGATATCCTAACCCATCACCATGGGATATCTACGCAGCTGAGATTCCTTGCCTGAGCAACCACCGAGGGAAACTACTTGGCGCTGATTCTGGAAGTTACCAGCTCCGCGTTTATGGTTCCAACCCCTCGCATGGTTCTGAACACAAGGGATACGCTGAGCAGCACTTGGCATGTGCTGTTGTACTCAAGGCAGTGTGATTAGCAGATCGCGCGGTGGACAGAGTTACTACTCGTGATTCTGCTCTCCAATCCGCAGCACTCCGATGCCCAGTGGGTACGACTCGCGACAACACTACGGCATGGACCATCATTCGACAGAAGCTGCATGTAACGGATACAACACTGCTACAGAAGCAGTACTATGACTGCCATACCACCAACACTTGGTGATCTTCACACGTGGACCAGATACGGGTAACAGCATGCACGGATCGGACAACATAGCCACTCATCTGCACGTTACAGCACACTGTTCCAACCATTCACATCTCCAACTCCGACTTGCATCTGCCCGTCCTGGAGTTTGCCTACAAGTATGCTCCTGACGCCGCTACTGGACAGACGCTGTACTTCGTCTGTTACGGACGCCACCCGATCACACCACAACAGCTAACCATACCAGCCACAGTCCAACTGGCTTCCGATTTCATCGCCATCGTCCACCATCTTGTACATCGACCACACAAGCGCCCTCTTGGACATCCAACATCAGCACAAGCACTTGACCCCTTATCATTACAGTCATCCACACCATAATCTCGACATCAGCCAACTTCCATCCAAGCTTCAACCTTGCTTCTGCGGGTCTATCATCGTTGAAGCAAGGGCCACTTCAGTCAACTTCCGCTTCCGCCTACCAGCCACTTAGAAGATCCATACCGCCTTCCATACCAGCTTCTTAAACCCTATCAAGACCAAACACGCTCTACACCAAATGCCAACCACCGTCGCCGCCGGTGTTCATCCACGCCATGTGACAACTACGTGCTCGGACACCGTCATCGTCAGACTGGCACTCTGGAGCTTCTTCTTTGCTGGAAGGGTTATGATACTTCTGAGGCTTCGTCTGTGAACTCGACATGGGTAACGCCCGTCGTCCTCTTCGCGACTACCTTGTTAAGCAGGGTGTTACGTCTACCACCCAGCTTTGAGGGGGGGAAGTGTGAGAGTACAACCCCGTTACACCAATTTCCCCTTTCCATATTTCCTTTCTATTTCATTCCTCTTATTATCCTCATTCATTTGGTCTTTATCTCATCTCATTTGGTTTCCTATTCCTCCTTTTCCATTATCCTTTGGTTTATCCTATTATTATGATTATATCACCGACCAGGCTCGGGATGTACTGGCACGCTATATCTAGCATAATCCTGCCGTAATCCCTTATAGCCAATAGCCTCGCGTGGCTATACGCATGGTGATTCTATTTCTAGAAGGGTCTATTTCCTTTGGATAGGATAAACCTGGTTACCTGATGTAATCTGGAAGTATAAAAGCACCTTGTACTGAATGATAGTGCAACATTGAGCAAACCTTTCCTTGGGACATTCGATCCTGTGACAGATACTTCCCTTGTGAGATGTATCTCACGGTCCTTCTTGCTGGCCTTGGACCCGAATGGCGACAGACGCGCGCCTTCCTGCGCATGAATCCAAACCTCTCCGAAGCTGAAATTTTGTCGTATCTTCAAGCAGAACAGCAAGATCTCGACCTGCAGTCACAACGCAATCAGAAAAAGGGGGTACACTTGAGTTTTTACTCAAATTCAGAATCGCAACATCGTCATCCCCCGAAGTATCCCATCTGTCATTTCTGCAAGAAACCAGGACACACTTACCAGAATTGACGCAGCACTTCACAACCTTATCATCGCTCGCAGCAGTTACCGAAGTCACATCAGCCAACGCAGCAGTCGACGGCCCAGACGCAGCAGATGCCGAAAACGCCGCAGAATCCGTCGCCGTCACAGCATCGTCCTCCGGTCTTTGCATCTGCAACATCAGGAAAAGGGGTCTTTGGATGTGTTACCATAGTTGATGTTTCAGAAACAGATTTCGAGACACGACTTGAAGAAGCCACAAGTGCTGAAGGCATTCCCTTACCTCTAGTTTACGCTAACCTTGCTCGAATAATTTCAGGTCCAAATACTTGGTATCTCGACAGCTGCTGCGGTTGGCACATGTGCTCCGCTGAGACAAGCTTCATCACCAACCAACGCCCGCTTCGTCGTCCGATACCTGTCACAGTAGCAAACGGACAAACTATTATGGCAAGATCCATTGGAAGTGTCATGCTCGAATCAGTTGACACGTGATATTCACTACAGGTTACCAATGTTCTTATCATCGCTGGACTTGGCTTCTATCTTCTCTCCATGGCTCAGCTCCTGGCACACAAAATACGCACTCAAGGCAACTGTGATACAATGGATCTGGAGTTATGGCACAGTTTATCGAATACTTACCTCGGCCGTGCCGTCACTCAACATGGCATGTCCGTTCTTCAGTTCGCAGCACAGGGAACTTCTAGAGATTCTGAACGCGTCCTTGCACTTGGTCCCTGGGATCACCCAGAAGAAACAGATTATCAGCACGTGGATATTGACCTTTGAGCAACTACTGTCCCAACGGCTTGAACTGTAGCCGCCGTACTTACCGCACTGGATAACTGGGAGTTCAGTACCGCCGATGCATGCGCCAACGCTTGGCGAACATTTTATAACACTTGCGAGGCTCTTCAAGGGACTCCACCTCCACTTTGGGGAGAAATTAGTGGACTTGCAGCTGATGAACCTGACGTCGTTGAAGAAACCGAAAAGAAAGAAGTCGCCGAGCAGCTGCGTCCAACAGTAGCTGTCGCAGGAACACCTGCCACAACATCAACAGAAGCAGCATCCGAAGTTGCGATCGCAACTGCAGCAGCAGCTTCAAATATTCAGTTGCCACTTACACGTTTCGTTGAAGGAGAGATGGACAGATCACCAGTGCTTTCTCGTTTTATCATTTCTTCATTTTATACTAACGCTGATTTCTACCTGCGATCATCAGGACACAAAGACACAGAAGATATCTGGCATCAGCGGTTAGGACATCCATCGTAAGGGATTCTTAATCATTCAATACGAGCAGCAGTTCTTGATAAAAACAGTCTTCTTTTACCTGACGGCATGGAGATGAAGCCGCAGTCCCGTCCCACGGTTTGCATACCGTGTCCAGTCGCTAATCTTACCCATGATCTGTTTCCAAGTCACTTTCCTGGCTCCACACGTTACAAACTGATGCAGAAAGTCTACAGCGATATTCTTAACTTACCTGAAGCAGGTCCTAAAGACGAGCAGTACGTGATAACATTCATCGAAGCATCTACTCACTACGTCTGGACAGCAAACCTTCCCGCTCGATATCTCGCCCATTCCGTCTTTGTCGCATGGCTCGCCGTCGCTGAAAGAAAGTCTGGCGTGAAACTGCAAGAATTCCAGAGCAATGGTGCAGGGGAGTACACGAGCAACACTTTCACAGAATACCTTCAGACCCTCGGCATCAAACGGAAGCAGTCACTGCCGCATGCACACCAACAGATGGGGGTAGCAGAAAGGATGAATCGGACTCTGAAAGAAGAAGATGCGTGCTCTGCTGACGCAGGCAGCTCTTCCTCCTCGCTTTTGGCCGTATGCGATGGACCACGCCGTGAAGTTACACAACCTTCTTTCTTCTACGTCCCTGCCGGAGTTCTCCACACCTGCATTGGACACGAACAGTGAGAAGTACCAAACCTTTACAAGTTTTCGGGTGTGTCGTGCAGTTTCGTCCTCCAACTGCAGCACTCGGCAAATTTTCCGAACGAGCAAAATGGGGGTACACCTCGGCATCGAAAACAGTAGCACGCATGGAAGATTTTGGATCTTCGTTCCAACCATATCGTCCCTTCACATGATTGTCTCTTCTATCAAAGACTAACCTTGCCCGTTTTTTGTGCCACCAAGCAGCAGCTGCCAACCCCGCCAGGCTGTTCGAAGGCTCGCGTGCATTTGCAACTGACGAAGCCGAAGCTGATGTACAGGACGAGGCAGTTTTTGAAGCTTCCGAAGCTGCCGCAACTAACATCCCCGAACCTGTCGCCTCGACAGGCATACCGGAATTTATTCCTCTTGCAGATGCTGACCAGGATGATGTTCGCGAAGTCCACCTCAGTTACGAACGCGATCGCTAACAGCAGCCGATGCCCGTCGTCTCCGACGAAGCAGTCCGTGTTACACCTGACGAAATTGGGGGGGGAGAAGGACCAGAAGAAAATTTCGCACATGCAAACGAAGAACGTCCGCGTTTTACAGAAACAGGATTACAGATACTGGGATTCGCAGGAGTAGTACAGTACAACGACAGTAAGATACCTGAACCGAAAACCGTTCGACTTCCTCACGAAGAAGGTGACACGACAGAAGTTTTAGTACTGTAACAAGCTTTGCGGGATCTTCAAGAAGTGACACTATCGAACTTCCAGAAATGAAGGGGAGTGTTGTAGTATAATTCAAACTTAGCATTTCTGTAAGTCGTTTATCGATAGATAGTGTAGAATCCTACTGTAGAAGATATGTCCGTAGGATGACTTCAGCAAATAGCGCTCGTCATAGGACAGTCGTTTTCAGTCACGCATTCAATCGCACCTCTTCATTATCATTTAGGGCGCATAGCGCGATAGTGACGAACAGGTAAATTAGCGAACAGGTACTTTCCTAGAGCTATAAATCCTTATTATGCCTTTTTCATTATTAACTTTTGATTACTCACAAGTTCACGTACTCATGTTATTCAACCTTGACTACTACATTTTACAAGACTTCCACTGTCTTACTAGTCTAGCATTACATTAAAGATCCTAGGCCAACAATTGAGGTTTTCCAAGTATTCGTGTTTGCAGATTTATACTTAGTCTCCTGCAACACCTGACAAATTATTACAGTGTCAACTTATACATATCTTTATATGTAGAAAATACAGGCTTGATATGATTGTGTTCTTAGAGAGTACATCTCCAACCCTATATCTTCCTTTTACTCTCTTGTTGCTAACCATTATAGTGTACTAACATGGTATCATGAGTCCCCAACCACGAAGGGACTCGAAACAAACCCAACAAGGGGCTACACCAAGTGAAATATAACACTACACGAAGTAGCATTACTATTTTTCACTATTTTAATATTTATCCGCGTCCCTTGGGCTTGAAATCTTGAGCTCTTGGTCTTGGTCCTGCAAAATCAATACTTCTTGAGTTGATGGGGGCTTGCTGCACTCACCTGCGACGCAATGGACACTTCACACTCGACAAAATAGAAAACGCATGCGACGTGCAAACGACGACTTGACATGCGAGTTGTAAAAACTCGCTAATGTCTTGACCGACACAAACCACATTGTGAGACACCATTCAAGCACACACACAAGCACAAGATAGCAATAACATAGACTCACAAATCATTCCATGCCATGCATGCACACACCAAACAAGGACGACAAGCCGAGTGCAAGCCATAGGGTTGCACCAACAAACTCCCCCTCGGATTGTTGGCCTTAGGATCTGCTCCCCTTAGTTAAGAGCCATCCCAGCAAGCTTGCAACACTTCCAATGCTGCCGCTCAACCAGCCTCTTGGTCATCATATCAGCTGGCTGCGCCGTCGTCTTCACATAGTGCAACTCCACTTCACCTGAAGTCGCCATGCTCCTCACCCAATGGCACTTCACCTTCATGTGCTTGGTAACGCCATAAAGTACGAGGTTTTTGGCCAATGCAATAGCACCCTGGCTATCACAATAAAGTGGGGTAGTACCTTGCTGCTCCTCCCCCAATTCAGCTAGCAAACGCCACTACCACACAACCTCTCTTATCGCACAGAAGAGTGCCATGTACTCGAACTCCACCGAGCTCAATGCTTGGTCCACTTGTTTCTTGCTCTCCCAAACTGTTGGTCCTCCACCAATATAGCAGATGAAGCCTCCCATACTTGTCATATCCTCTGGTTCTGATGCCCAAGATGCATCAGAGAAGGCGGTGAGAAAGAGCCTCCCGGGTTCGACTCCATCCGCACCCTTTTGACGCCTTTGTGCCGCTGCGGAGTATTGCAGTCCAATAGTTGCTGTTTGGCCAAGGTACTTGGCCACTCTCTCTCCATCTGCTACCTGCTCTTCATTAGGGCATTGGACAACCCTAGCTTGCTGCCCGGTAGCAAGGGCTGCATCTGGCCTTGTGTGAACGACCACATACATGAGGCTGCCCACCAAGGAGTGAAAAAGGTGCCTCTCCTCTTCACCAAAATTTTCCTCCCCTGGTCCTTTCACACACTTGAACCCCGAGGGAAGAGGAGTAGTTACATGACCTTCACTCTTCCCAAAGTTTGCAGCCAAGGCCTCCAAGTACTTCTTTTGATGCACTCGCATCCATCGCTTCTCCACATCTCGCTAAATGTGAAGCCCAAGGTAGTAGTTGACGTCACCAAGGGTCTTGCACTTGAACTTGTCTTGAAGCTTCAGCATCACCTCCTTCAAAAGGTCACAGGAGGGTGAAAATATGAGGATGTTATCCACATAAACCACCATGAAGCTCCCCTGCTCACCCTCGCCAAGCATGGACAAAGATTGATCGGCCGTTGAGGGAGTGAAGCCGAGACTTCCCTCAGCTTGATGTACCATTGCCTAGGGTCTTGCTTGAGGCCATAGAGTGCTTTCTTCAGCTTCCACACTCTGCCAATCCCATTGTTGTACCCCTCTGGCTGCTCCATGTAGGTCTCTTCCTCCAAAACTCCGTTTAGGAAGGCTGTTACGATGTCCATTTGCTTCACAACCCATCCTTTGATGGCCGCCGCGGCGAGGAGCGTTCGAAGGGTTGTACCCTTCACCACTTGAGCATATACTTCATTGTAGTCGTTCTTCTTTTGCTGATGGTACCCCTTGGCTACAAGTCTGCTCTTATAGCGCTCAATGTTGCTGTCGGCATCGGTCTTGCGCTTGAAGAGCCACTTGGAAGAGATCGCCTTCCGCCCCGGAGGTAGATTCACCAAGTCAAATGTGTCGTTCTTTATGATGCTCCCCATTTCTTCATCTGAGGCCTTCTTCCACTCCTTCCCATTGGGGCCCTCCCAAGCCTCCTTGGGATTAGTAGGCTCCTCCGGCATCTCCAGCGGAGAGAAGAGGGCAGAAGCGCACTCCTCGCTTTCATCTTCCGTATCATCGCCTAGCATGAGAGCCGAACCGGTCAAGGTTGAGTTGGCTGGTCCTCCAAGCCGGTCATAGCTCAACCTATTGGGGGCTGAGTCTTCCTTCTCCCCCTTCCTTCCTCCTCTGCTGCAGGTACTTGAATGCTCTCATGTTATTGCTGCAAATCTGGTCGGTTCCCGCGAGCACTTGTAGCACGAGGCCGAAGAGACAGTGCACGCTCATCACCTTGCTGCACCTCCTCCTCCTCTTCTCCCCCATTCATTTAAGGAGATTGCCTTGTGATTGTGTTGCTGCTACTCAGCTCCAAGGGCAGCTCCACATGCTCCAAGCCGGAACACTTCATCTCTCCAAGCCGCACACCAAAGTTCGCTTGGTTCTCCGCCTTCCACTCCTTGTACGGTAAGTTCTCCATGAACTTGCAATCTCTGCTCACCAGGAACTTCTTGGTAAATGGGTCCCATAGTAGCCATCCCTTGCTGTTTTGAGCCATGCCCAGGTGCACGGCCCATGTTGCCTTGGCATCAAGCTTGTTGTGCCGAAGTTTCTTAGGTACAAGTGCCATACACATGCACTCAAACACCCGAAGCATATCCATCTTCGGCTTCCTTCCAATCCACTCCATATGGGTTACATATTTGTCTATTCCCACATGGGTCGAGGCTCTATTCTTGGCCACACATGCATGCCGCACTGCATCCGGCCTAAAATATTTGGGTAGACCATCTTTAATGAGAAGTCCCCGAGCCGTCTCCGTGAGTGTCCGATTCACACGCTCAGCGATGCCGTTCATTGCAGGAGAGTAGGGCATGGTAAGAGAGTGCCTTATGCCCTGTTTCTTCAGCCAAGTTGAGTAGTCCTTGCTCAGGAACTCTCCCCCACGGTCAGTGCGAATCGCCTTCACAAGTCGGTCTTGTTGCCGCTCCACCATCGGCAATTAATCGGTCTTCACCGTTTCAGCTATGTCATTCTTCTTGGGCATCACATACACCCAAGTCATGTGAGTGTAGACATCCACTATAGTGAAGAAGTACTCAGCTCTAGCAGCTCCAAGTTTCAAGGGGCCCACCACATCCATCACCACCTCGTCAAGTGGAGCCTTTGCCGTTGTCTCCGAGCTATGGATCGGGTAGTGGGTGAACTTGGCTTGCATGCATGCTAGACAGCCAAGCACCTCATTGGGCTCCCCCTTAACACGTATCCCACTGACCATCTCTTGCTTAACTATCTGCTGCAAAATGGGCAATGCCACATGCCCCATTCGCCGATGCAAGGTCAGCCAATCACACTCTCCCGTAGCGGAAGTCGGGTTGGAGAAAGCGGCACTCGCAATTGTGCCCCACAAGCTCTCTCCTTTCTCCTTCGCCGCTGCTACTTTGCTGATCTTAGCCTTCTCCTTATTTCTACCACCTTTTGCTGCTGCACCACTCTCCTTGGGTTCACACGCCTTGCTGGTCTCTTCAAGATTGCACTCCTTCAAAACACAGTTGGTGTCACTTTCCTTCCGTGATTACCGCCACCAACTGCTTTAGTCTTTGTGCTGACGCTTGCTGCCCCTTGCCTCTCCTTTGGCATGGGGACCACTGGGATTTGACACATCTTATTGTAGATGTCCTTGTCCTTATAAAGGTCCCAAACCATCTGCCCACCAAGCCTCGCGGTATAAGTTTTGGATCCCTTGGAAGATGTGTCCATGTCGGCCTTTTGGTAAACGACACACGAAAATCGGGTTGGCTGCAAGGTTGGGCACCCAAAGCACGTTCTTGAGGCCCACCATCTTCCCATCAGCACCCTTGAATATGGCCTTGCCCATGCCTTTCACTCTGCTCGCTGTCCCAAAGCTGATGTAACATGCTTGACCAGCGACAGTTCGAGTTTGGTGAGCAAGTCCGCACGAGTTGTTATGCTATAGGTGGCGCCGCTATCGATCACCCAAAATTCCAGAGAGTGAACGGTGACCTAAAAGCTTTCCACAGCACATGCTGCAGCTGCCGCTTGCGTGGAGACAAAGAAGAATTGGCCCGGGTATTGATCTTCACTAAGGCCTGTCTCGTAGTCTCCACCTTTCATGCTTGCCGCTTCGCTTCCACGACCACCACAGCCTCCATGACCTCTGCCTCTTCCTCCCCTTGCTCCTCTGTCCTCTTGGCCTTGAGAAAGGGCCCATCCATCGGGCAATCTAAAGCAATCTCTCCACATGTGGCCGGTCTTGTGGCAAAAGTGGCATTCGCCATCAAATCGACCGCGCCCACGCCCGTAGCCATTATTGTTGTTGTTGCTGCCATATCGTCCATTTCCACGGCCTCCATTGAAGTTATTGCTACCAAATCTGCCTTCTCGCCCTCTACCCCTTCCACGGTCATGCCCACGACCCATGCTTGCAACTCTGGCACTATCGGGGACCGCCAATTCGCGACGACGGAAATCTTCTTGTACTATTTCCCGCTTCACAGCTTCGAGCGAGAGGCGGGGCAGAACTCGATTTAGGTTGATGATGAGCAAGGACCATGAGTCCGGAAGTATGGCCAGTAGCTTGGTCTTCTTGTGAAGGTCACTGTAGTTCAGGTCACCTCCTTCGAGCCGTGTCATCAAGTCAAAGAATTTCTGCACTCCTTCCTCCACCCGTTCGCCTTCGTCAAATCGAAGTGCCGCCATTTGCCACTACAAAACCTTAGCCACCGCTGCTGTTCTTGGAGCCTGTACACCCTTGAGAGCAGCCCATGCCTTTGGTCCCTTTGCTGGTTCACGCTGAAAAGGCTTGATGTGACGGATTTGGCTGCTCCCCAACGCTTGCCCAAGTAGAAGATAGCCTTGTGCGCTCTTCCGCACCCACGGGCTCTTCTCCGGGTCGTTCTCGGGGCGCTTCTCTGTTCCTTCCATCACCTCCAACAGATCATAGTGGTCAAAGATGTTCTCCATCTTGAATGACCACTCAGCAAAGTTGTCACCGTGGAACTTGTCAAGGCCAAACACTCTATGCTCATCCCTAGAGGGGCCAAGGCTAGGTTGCACAGGAGCAATGGGTGGATCTTGGGTGTTGGCCTTGTACTTGGGCATCTTCGCTCCCTCCAGCACCTCTGCCACCCCCTTTCCCAGATCTGGGCATGGTCGAAATGGTTCCAAGGGGCTCTGATACCACTTGTTATAATCACACTAGGCTTAGATGTGCCAACATTGAGAGATAGAGTGCACAGTCGGATTTCCGTCAGTCCCCTTCAAATATTCATACCGATCTGATGGGTGCATTTGAACGGTGGTCTGTAAGTTGGATCAAGAGCGCGTTGCTGTCGCCTATCAGTAGCAAGTTGAATCAGGAATTTCCATGAAGAATTTACGACGCTATGGCGGTTTGACTAGCAGGAGGTATAGCCACTATATTCTCAAAAGTACAAACTTAGCAAGAAGAATCTAGATTGAGTTGGTTCCAATCCTCTACAAACCCCAAGAGCCGAGGTACAGGTTGGTGGTACACCACCACAGAGTCCCCAACCACGAAGGGACTCGAAACTAACCCAACAAGGGGCTACACCAAGTGAAATGTAACACTACATGAAGTAGCGTTACAATTTTCACTATTTTTATTTTTATCCGTGTCCCTTGGGCTTGAAATTTGAGCTCTTGGTCTTGGTTCTGCAAGATAAATTATTCTTGAGTTGATGAGGGCTTGCTGCACTCACCTGCGATGCAATGGACACTTCACACTCGACAAACTAGAAAGACACATGCGACGCGCAAACTACGAATGACATGCGAGTTGTAAAAACTCGCTAATGTTTTGACGGACACAAACCACATCGTGATACACCATTCAAGCACACACATAAGCACTAGATAGCAATGACATAGATTACAAATCATTCCATGCCATGCATGCACACACACAAACAAGGACGACAAGCCGAGTGCAAGCCATAGGGTTGCACCAACAGGTCTCAGTAGCGTACCGGAGCGGCGGCGGTTTCTTGCACCTGACGCTGGTTTGAGCTAGCCGTGTGTGCCGCAAGTGCAACTTCATAGCCTCGTGCGGGAGAACGTATGCGTGATGCTTCTGGGTGTAGGCGTAAATGGCGCGCGCCCATCGGTCCGGGTTATCAATGTAGGCTGGTATGCGGGGTGCCATTGGAGCTGAGCCAGGATGGGGGCTAGGAGGGACGGGCGGAAGGAGGGAGGGCTGAACCGGTGCTGTCGGCGCCCTTCCTTCTGGTTTGCCGAAGACGATGTTAAAAAGGTACTACCCGTTGATGACGGTGGAGCTGAGGAGAGTGTGGAGGCTTTCTGCGAAAGAATGCAGTTGACTGGAGTGGTGCCATCGCGAAGGTCAAGACGGTCGATGGATGTCTATGGTGGGTGTATCGGCCGCCATGGTGTGAGTGTGGTAGAGGAGGAGGTGGGGCAGCGGCGATGGAGGTGGTGCAGAAGTGAAGGAGGTGGTGCAGCGGCAGACGGAGGAGTTGCATCGGCGGACGAAGGTGGTGCGGTGGCGGAGGAAGTGGGGCAGCGGCGGAGAAGGTGGTGCAGTGGGGGAGGAGGTGGTGCAGCGGTGAAGGTAGTGGCGGACGGAGGAGGTGCAGCGGCGGACGGAGGTGGTGCAGCGGCGGAGGAAGTGGGGCAGCAGCAGAAAAGGTGGTGCAGCAGGGGAAGAGGTGGTGCAGCGGTGAACGAGGTGGTGCAGCAGCGGACGGAGGTGGTGCAGCGGCGGAGGAGGCGGGTCAGCGGGGGAGGAGGTGCAGCAGTGGGGGAAGGAGGTGAGCAGTGCAGCAGTGGCGGAGCGGGTGGCGAGGGGCAGCGATTAAGGCAGCGGCGACGTCGAAGGCAGCTGCGGCGACGAAGGCAGCAAGCACAGCGACAGGAGGGATGGACGGGACCGTTCCGACTGAAGAAGGGGCGCGAGAGCGCGCAGGCGCAGGTGGCGCCAAGCGAGGGACGGGAGCGCGGAGTGCGCTGGCGTGGGAATCCGCCGCGACGAAATTTCGAGCAGCGAAATTCATCGCGATGAATTTTCTAGCGGCGAAATTCGTCGCGCGGAATGCAGGCTGAGAGAGCGGGGAAGGGGTGCGATGACACGCAGGTGCGGTGGGCGCCGAGAAGGAAAAATTATGCCAAGGGAGGATCGAGCAGGGCATGAGCCAGAAATTCTGATAACCATGTTAGAAACTGTAGAGAGAATGAATTTACTATAGAGGTAGATGGTACAGGGTTATATACCTAGGGGGCCAATCCTAGGTCAAGAGGTGCTTGACCAACTCACCATTATTGGTTGGACCCAATAATGGTTGGGAGGGTTGGACCACCAATAATTGAAGAGCTAATAATGTTGGTGGAAGACCAACAAGATTGAACACCTCGATAGTTGGGGTCAAGGATTGGTTAAATATCCAACCCCAACATGTATCTACACCTCTAGATAGCCCAACTTGGTTATAGATACCCAAGTATAAGAAACTATGTAGGATAAAGAGAATGGTACATTCTGACAGGAATAACTAGTCCAACCTCTGAGGTAGGGGTCAAAAGACCAGTCAGCAAGAGTACAAACAAGACAACAAGCGACGACGGGGGAGGCGAAGGCAGGAGGGGAGGAAGAGACGTGTGGGAACGAAGCAACATAGGGTGAGAATGCTGAACAGGAGAGACAGGACGAGCACGAGAGGGACGGCGAGACCAGACGCGAGATGGAGGCATCTAGTCAGGAGACAGAGGAGGAGGCACAAGAGGGGAACGAGGGGGAAGACGAGCCGGAGACGAGTCTGGCGAAGGGAACACAAGACCGTAAACAGGAAGGGGAGGAGGGGCCGGGGGAGGTGCAGGCAAGCGGTCAGGGGAGGGAGGCCGAGCAGGCGAAGGGCGGACACCGGCGGCGACTGCTGCTGCTGCTGCTGCTCGACACCGACACCTGGACCGCCAGCTGCACCACGGCTACCACCGGAACACTCCACTCCAGCACCCGCAGAACGAGCACCCCCAGAGCAAGAACTCTCTCCAGCACCAATGCCACCCCCAGGCCTGCCAGGACAAGCCACGATAGGAACCCCAAGACTGGCACCCTCCTCAACGCCAGCACCCCCAGAGTCCACGGACAGCTGCTGCTGCTACGGCGGCGGTGGCGGTGGCTGCTGCTGCGGCTGCGACGACGTCTGCGACTACAGTGACGGCGGAGGAGGAGACACCGGGGGAGAAACAGGTGGCGAGAACTACCCCGCAGGGCCACCCGAGTCAGCCGACTCCTCGACCGGGACAACCGACGGGAGGGGAGTGGCGTGAGACACACCAGACAGAGCAGGCCGGAGAGGGAGGTGAGCAGGGCTACTGGGGGAGTGGGAACCAGAAACAGGGAGGGGAAACCGGGAGACCTCGGTGGGGAAAGCGGTGATAAAAGAAGACAGACTCGTCGAAAGTGGCGTCACGGGAGTGAAAGAAGAGATGAGAGGGCGGGTGGTAAAAGTGCCAGTCAGACGAGTCAAGGGGGAAACCGAGGAAGACACAAGGGACGGTGCAGGCAGTGAGCTTCTCCGTGCCAGAGGCAAGAACGTGAGAGAGGCAGCCCTAGACGTGGAACGCGGACGCGTCACCAGGGAACCCGGTCTAAAGAAGGGTCGGCGAAACCTACAGCCAATGGAGCGCGGCCACAGGTTAAGCTGGTGAGTGGCGTAGCGAATGGCGAACGGCCACCGAAAATGGGGTGCACCGGCATGAATCATGGAGGTACGAGCCACCTCTATGACCTAACCGATGCGTTGCTCAGTGACCCCATTCTGTTGCGGGGAGTCCGGTAGGGTGTATGACTGGGTGATGCCCTCCGCATGACAGAACTGTCCAAGCCGACCAGAGACAAAATCGCCGCCATGGTCGGAGTGGAGACACAGCACAGGGAGATCGCAGTGGAGGTGCGCAGCTACGACCCATGGGATAAGAACATCAGGCATGCCGGCCTTCCACTCCAAGGGAAACACCGTGGTGTAGCGCGTGTAGTCGTCGACGAGCACGAGAAAGTAGCGCTTGCGACGCGGTCCAGGGACGGAAGCTGGGCCCCAGACGTCCAGGTGCAGGATCTGGGGGTGCGGTGGCAGGGCGAAGCGAGGAGGAGTGAGGAGCACGGTGCAGCCGGCCCTCGACGTAGGCGTGCACGGCGGCGCAGGCGAGGGAGGGAGGGTAGGGAGCGACGCAGGGAGACCAAGGACAAGATGGTGCTGGGACATGTAACGCAGACGTGGTAGTGCGAGGTGACCTAGGCGGTGGTGCCACGTGTGAGTGAGCGACCGACACGAGCAAGCCGCAGCGACCTGGGTAGACTCAGGACCCGAGGGGACGCGCCAACTGGGGGGAAGCAGTGTTCAGCGTAAACAAGCCTGACACCGGGTCTAGGCTAGACAAAGCAAACAGTCCTACGCCTGACGCAGCAAAGGAGTTTGTACTACACACAGGTGCTATGCCTAAGCTAGAGAACATGAGGTAATAAGATCCGGACACACTAGAAGCGTCAGCATACAGAGAATGCAGGGCAGAACTAATCTGTCAGCGCCTAAGGGAGGTGTTGGCCCTTCAAGCCAATCTGGGCCTGCCCATTTGCGAAGTACCGACCTATCTGTTTAGGGACAACTCGGACAGAGGAGGGAGGGGAAGGGGAGGGTGCAGGGAGGGATGGGAGGGAGAGGGGGGAGAGGAGGGAGAGGAGGGCGTGGATGGAAGGAGGAGTGGAGGAGGAGAGGGAGTGGAGGGATGGTATGCAAGGGAGGGGCATTGTGTGTGGGAGTGGGTGAGAATAAGTGAAGAGAGTGAGGGAAGAGGGGCTTGTGATTTGAAGGAGATTAGTATAGTGCGGAAGGGAGGTGTGGGGAGGAGGGGGTGGGGGTGGTACAGAGGAGGAAGAGGAAACGGAGGGGGGGTGGAGGGAGGAAGAGGAAGGGAAGGTGGGGGAGGTTGAGGGAGGAGGAGAGGGGGCGGAT